ACAACAACCCTGTGAGGTGAGTTGGGCTGAGAGAGAGTGACTGGCCCAAAGTCACCCACCCGGCTTTCGTGCCTAAGGTCGGACTAGAACTCACCATCTCCTGGTTTCTAGCCTGGGACCTTAACCATGAGACCAAACTCCTTGCTTTTTAACTGTGTTAAACCTATTTTAGAGCTTACACTATACAAATTTCCCCAACTCATATGGTAGATAAACATGGTAGTGATTTTCAGTCATTGTAATATGAGAGAGCCCCTGAGGCCACAAAAGGAGTTGGTGGACCACTTGAGGTCCTGGGAGTTCACAGAGTGACTATTTTGATATTGCATCCTGATTACCACATGAATATACAAAGCTGCCTCATTATGGGATTAGGCTATGGGTCAACTAACCCTATTCTCCAGATGGTCAACCCTGACTGCAGACTGAGCAAAGACTACACAACCTTCTCTGAATGGAAAACTCACCTGCTGAGGCTCGGAGAGCAACGCAGTACTCAGAATTCCAAAGATTGTTGGGTTCTCCGTGCATCCAGTTCTTGTAGTTGTAAGTAGACTCATCTGTCCACCTCCAGTTGCCATTCTGAAATTAACAAGACAGAGAAGCACATCCTAAATCCAAACAAAAGAGCCATCGAGCCAACGGAGGTTAGATAGAAGTTGGGATGGGAGAACTTGGTTTTATTCACATTTAATAAAAGTATCTCTAATTTTGCAAACCAGTGCACGAACCCAAACACAGTTTTTATTAGAAGTTCATCTTTTTTCTGTTTTGCTGCACAGCTCAGTAATTTAGAAAAGGTACATGTGTAGAATGTATATACAGATGAAGTATATCATGAATCAATGCTGGACAAAAACATTTTTCATCCTGAAAATAATGTATAAAATATATTATATGAGTGGGAAACTATGTATATTGGAACAAATGGGGGGGGGAATGCATAGGAAAAGGAATGTAGATGACCTGTAGGAGTTTCAAAAAAAGAATTCATCTTTCCTTTGCTATTCCTTGCATACCTGGTATTGAATCAATAGAACTGACAGGTTGATTGATTATTGACAGAGAGATCTGAACACCCAGGAGGGTGGTGCTTACATGGTGAACATCATGGAGCCCAATCCAGACATCAACCCCTTTTTCTTTCTTGTAAATAGAGATGTGTTTGGACACAATCAGTGTTTCTGGCCAGGCAAGGATAGATGCAAGGTGGGTCCCACGGCCATAGCTTTGGCATTCAATCTGAGGAGAGGAGGGAAACACATAAGACTGTGCTGCTTCATCTCTCCCATGTTCTCCACAGCTTTTTAAGAGATATCAGGTCTTACCTCAGCCTCATGCCAGCTCAGCTTCTTATGGAAAAGCCCGTAACAGTTCCCTTGATACTGTAACCATTTCCTCGGGCAGAATGCAGCTTGAGAAGCTTGGAGAAGCACAGAAAACATGAATGGTAGAAAGGGAATATGATTATGTCATGAATATGAAGTAAGTGAACACAGGGAGGAGTTCAGCATCCCATCTTCCATAAGATTAGATTTTCCCAGTAAGCTCCACCACTGAGTTTCTTAACTGTTCTGTTGTTTATAATGGCCTGACATGGACACCATCTCAGGAGAAAAAGATAGTGGCCACCTCAGGCATAAAGTGAGCAGGAAGAGTAGTCTATGAGCTAAAGAAAACATCTCTTTTGTTTATTTAAACCACTCGAGCCCAACAGAGGTCTAGGTGGATGCCTATAATTATTATTTATTTCTCCTATAACAATGATCTTGCTTCACCTTGTTTTCTTTATTCTAACCATCATAAAGCTCCCCATATTTTGAGATAAGCCTTTCCCAGCTCTTGTGATATGGAGAAGCCAGGAATTGAACTTGCGATCACCTACATGCAGAGCAGGCACTCTACCACTGCCATCAGAAGATTGACAGCCATTTATTTTGGCATTCCCTTCTGCAGTAATTGACTGCTTTAATAGGCAGTTGCTCTGTTTTCACTCATCTTGGACTTCAGACATTTTTTCATAAGAGGCAACTCACCTGCCATGAAGAAGCCAAGAAGCCAAAGACTAGTGTATGTCGAAGGTCTCATTTTTGCCTCTTTAGCTAAGAAGAAATCAAAAGATATTTTGCATTTTAAAAATTAATTAATTAATTAATTAATTAATTATTCCTGAAGAGAATGCTAGTGCAGTGTAGGGGTGAAGTGCTGGATTAGGACGATGGACTAATCAATCTCTTTGCATGAGTTTGGGCTGGTCACTCTCTTGCCTCCCAACCTACCTCATAGGATTGTTCTTGTGTGGATAAAATAAAGGGACATTCAGCTCCTAGAGGAAACACAGACTATAAATCAAACAAATAACATAATCATAACCCATTTATATCCTTGGTTTTCTTCTGAGAGTTTAAGGCAGCACTGCTATTCCAAGAACCTGGTTTAGCCAACGAAGCCATGTTTAGCATAAGCCTTTGTTTTGCCTTAGTACAGTTTTCAAAAAGTATGAAGGACCTTCATCCTTCAACCTACACTGTTCCTTTAATGCCAACACCTTTTCAGCCTTTACAGCTAAGTGGATACAAAGTGTTGAAGGAGAGAGCTAGTAGCTAATCCTTAACACCAAATTGATAAAAAAAAAAAAAGCTGACATAGATAGAACTCCATATATGGAAATTCAGGCTCAAGAATCAACAAAAGGGATGGGTCCAGATGATGTCACAGCTTAAGTTTAAAATGGGAGATGTTATCAAAGGAGGAGGAAGAAAATCAACCCAAATCAAACCCATCCTTGTGGTTCCTGATTTCCCTTTTCTATCTTTGCCTCTAAGAGATTGATGAAGTGCTGAAGGATTCTGCAATGGATGGTGAGACAGGTTTGAACACATCAGGAAGAGCTTAAGAAACTTTGTTTTTCCTCACCACCTTGCTTCCCCCTTCTCCCTTTCCTGCCCCCTTTCCTTTAATTAGGATGCTGAGCTTTACAATCATTTATCAGTCTTTAGTGGACTAACTCTGTAACCACTTACCCAGTTTTAGATGCCCCATTTTGTAACCATGTGCTGAGCTTGAAGCAGATGAAACAATATCTGCCCTTTTATATTAACCCATTAAGCTTCCAGTAAACAAGTCATAAAGAAAGTAAAATAGTAAAGAAAGAAAAAGTAAAGAAAGTGTGAGCTGATTCTCACCTCTTGTGAACTCAGCTTACTGAAAGAACACAAAGAGATGTAATTTGAATAGGTATGTGGAGGGATCACACCTGATTGAATAAAGTCTGCATGTTTGAGTAGAAGGTAATTCCTGAGTCAGCAAACTGGCAGTTCTCCTTCAGTGGGAAGAAAACTACCAGTCCCTCAGTGTCACTCATGTCCCCAAGTCATGAAACTGATGGTCCCCAATCAGTGGGCAGAAGATCATCAGATTCCCCAGAGGCAGGCATTTACTGATTCCCAGGAATGGGCAGAAAGTTGCCAATTCCCCGGTGAGGTGCGTGAGTGGAGAAGAAAAAATGTGAACAGATTCACCCTTCCTCTAGTTGAGCACAACAGCATATATTAGAGTCTCCTATAATTTTATCCTCATAACCATAACATTCTGGGGGTGGGAGGAATCAAGTCCATGTCCTTGCCATGCCCACTGGGATCTTCCATCATAGTTCTACTATTATGGGTGAGAATTGATATTGGTGAAGACCAGTGGACAAACTGGCAGAACAAGCAAACAATGTGCTCAACAGCAACTTGTGTGGATCAGTCTCTAAGGCATTTTTGTGCTCTGGAGTGAGAAAACACCCCTAAAGGCAGATGAACCAATATGATTAGATCAACAATATAGAATGTGGAGGAAATTGGGGCCTCGCCATATCTTTCTATCACATAGTCAACCATGAATCAAAGCAACACAGTAGAGAATCATGATCTTCAACAACCTGAAAGGAGAAGAGACATTAACTGAATTAAACTGAACTGAATACTATCAGTTAGTCTGAGCTGAGAGAAAGTCATTGGTGAAAGTCATCAAGTGAGCTTTATGGTCAATTGGGGACTTGAATCTGAGTCTCCAAACCCATCACCTTAACTTCTAGACTACACTACCAAGACAAATTGAAAAATTTGAATTGTGGAAAGAAAATCAGCTGTTCAAAATTACTGTATCAAAACTTCCAGCATTCAAGTGAGACTGTGACTGCTGAAGCCACCAAACAGCATTTTCCCATTTATAGCAAGGAGGTTTTGCAGGAATAGAGACAATACTTCAGAAAGAAAATCTTGAAGGGGAGCAGAAAAACTGCAAAGTGGAAGGGCGGGAAACAAGAAAGTGGGAGGAAGCAAAGGGTTTAGGACTGTGAAGGACAAAGCTCTGTGTTAAAATTGCACCCCAGTAGAAATTAAATATGTATTTTTAAGGAATTATCTTTTCTTTTTCTGTAAGAACACATTTCAAAGCACATTTTCCTTTGAAATATTTACCCAGATTTTTAAACCAAGAATGGTATTAGAAGATTTGAAAAAGGCATCAAGTATGTGAGGTCTGATTCGCTGAGATTTTCTGTAGTGTTTTTCTTTGTTTAGAGGGCATATAATCATTTTTTTTTAAAGGTTAACATAGAAGGGAGAGATGTCTGAAATCTGTTTGGAAGTGAAAAAGTAAAGGTAGTTCAGCTTCAAATCATGTCCTTTTAAACCTTCCACGTTCTTATATATGCTACTATCTTATAACTATCTTCTGCTGTTATAACTCTGTTAGGTAGGAATTGCAAGAGACGAGAATTGTTCCCATCAACCTTGTTCACTGGCCCTGCTGGCTGGGGTTGAAGGTAATCCAAAGTATTTGAGGAGTACCTGATAAGATACAGCTACATTGCCTTTGTTCAGCTCACTAACTGACTTTGGCCTACCTTCAGATAGCTAAATTGAGTCAGATCTGATAAGTGTTTGGACGGAAAACCACCAGAAAAGCCGTAGCAAACCACATCCATGTTGTTGCCAATAAAGCTACATGGATGTGTCCAAGTAGTCATCAGGAGTCAATCTCCACTTGAGATTTTTATGATTTTTATAGCAGGTTAAATGCAGAGTCATATGGTATATATGGTATATAAAATATATATATTCAACTTGCTTGCCCACTATTAAATTGTGGAATCAAAACACAGGACACAAAGGCAAAATAATCAAGGCTTCACTGCAGTGTTTATTAGACAGTATGTACTGGAAGGGGACCCCACCAAAAGTTAGTGGGAGGCACTCCCCTATAGGGAAAATGGATGCCCTGATATTTATACAGCTTTACAAGAAAGGGTGAAGGGAAAAGAACATACGTATACATATTCATATGATGATACAGGCATACCTAAATGAGCAATACTTCTCAAGTTACTTTCTGTCCCTGTTCTTAGCTGCTATCTACAAGGATGGAACAACTGCTATCTATAAGGAACGCAATAGTGTCAGAGGGGAAGAAACAACTTGTTCAAGGTGCCAACTGCCAGGAAGAAGACATCCTCTTTTACATTGCTATGGGGATGTTTGTGATCAGGAGTTTATAATCAGCCTAATTCACACCAGCTTCAAGAGTGCTGCGCATTCCTTTATGTATCAATTTTATTAAGGCGATCCCGTTCATCTGAGGCCTCTAAAAACTTGCTTCTTTCACCCCAAGATTCAGCCAAAGCTATATTTTCCTCACAAAATGGTAAGAACAGTCTTCTGCCTGTTCATTGCAGAACCTCAAACATAAGTATTTACACACTCACCCAAGTTCAAAAAGTCTCCCTCGATATCCAGCTTTCCAGTGTCATGTTCTCCTGACACCACTGCTTTTATCTAGATCTCTGATTAAATCTGGTTGAAATCTGGGGCAGAAATGCTAAGGCAGAGCATGAAGTGTTGTGTTTCCTTGTTGCACAACTATGAGCAAGCTAAGCTGGGGGGCATTAAGAATGAAAGGGGAGAAACAAGTGATGCTATCGGTGATCTTGATTTAGAAAGTATCCAGCAATACTTAAACTTCACAAGCAGCAACCAATATTTGTATAGTCCAAGCAATACCAATTTTAAGTTTGTTTTGGCTTTTATAGGAAACTAAGAAAACTGCAAACATGATCCATTTATTATCATAGATCCTTTCTTGACTGGAGAAGAATTCCTATAGGTGTTTACTTAATGAGGAAATTTTGGCATTGCGTGCAATGATTGGACTACAGCTCTTCAGTGTCTAGAAATAGCATCCTACCTTAGGGTTGATTTTTTCAGGGGGCCAATGAACAAGGAATTGTGGGTAGGATAGCTACAGCACTACATGAACAGTTGCATCTAATGACATTTGGAGGTAATTAGCAGTTTAGGCAAATACCCAGAACCTTAAGCAGGAAGAAAACTAGAGGAGGACACTGTAAAGGTTGAAGGTGATGAGGTAGAAATCTCTGATTATTACACAAGTGAAAGCAATTTTTGTATGCAAGGAATGGATAGCAGAAACTTCCAAGGTCAGGAAACTAGGAGCCACATGGCCCTTGACTCAGAAAGATGGGAGGAAGAGATCCAGGATTTTAATCTTGGGACTGACATATGAAAAGGGCAAGATTCCTAAGTGTTGTTAGACAGAGAACTTCTTACATATGGCTTACTCATTCATGTGGGCTGGTGGATGAATTATTAGAACTCCCAAATTCAGAATTAGCCTAGAAAGATTGGGTCTACATTACATAGTCATGAAGTGCCATTTGAAAAATATAATGTCAGAGCAATTGCACACAATTAAATGTCTTTAAATAACACGATGCAGCTTCTTAGCCTTATATTTTGGTTAGAGACTATTGTTCTCTTGCCTTCAGACTTGTATGTTTCAAAGTGTGTCTCTGTAATTTATGGTCCTCCTTTTCAATAAAGTTGGCCATGTGCCAACATTGATTTCCAAAGCTTTACTATTTTCAATTGATTAAGAAAGAAACCCAATTTGGATTCATTAAAGCAGTTTTTGGTTCAGATCATCATGCTTCAATGCAAGATTTTCAGGTCAATTTAAAGAAGTCTTCACTGAAGCCATGGCTCCGAGCAACCTGTTCTAGTCCAAGCTAATCTGAGTCCTTTCATTCAGGTCCCATCTTCCTTAGATCTGATCCCTTGTTCCATCTGCCTTAGATCTGATCCCTTGGTTACAATTAAGCTTCAGTTGATCCAGACTTTACTAAGCCTTGTTGTTCTTCGTTCACTGAAAAGCATACACAGACAAATACTCTTTGCCACTGAGAGATTAATCTGATACTCCTGCTGATTCAGTAAAATCCTGATTTTTTTGGGGGGGGGGCTATATACTTTGTTAGCTAATGACACGGAGAAGGCTAATGAGGCAGGCATCAATTACATAAATAAGATTCAGTAAAAAAATATTTATCTTAGACATCAGGCTAAATTCCCTTCTGAAGCTTCTATATGTATTTCATGGTGCGACAAATAACATTCTCTTTGCTTTTCATGGGAAATTCCATTGGGGCCAGTGGAGATTTCCCATGCAATACAAATTGCTGCTTTGCAGAGAAAGTCTGCTTTTTCACACTGGCTGGGATGGAGAGAAAGGCTAAGGTAATGGCTCCCTCAAGTGATACTTAACTCCTGGGGACTACATGAGCAAGTCCCTCTACATTTTTAGCAACATTGTAGAAGCGATTTGCCATTTTTGTCTTCCCCAAAGTTTATTTGACTTCCCAAACTAGCGTACCACCCTAATGAGGTCAGATTGTGTTCAGTTTTTCAGGGAAAGCCAAGTTCAGGAAAGTCCCCAAAATCGTGGGGCTATTTTATGTTAGAACTAACCCCCTGTGAGACTACCACAATAGGGATTTCAGTGTCTGTATAACATACCCATTATCTTGCAACCTAATTCATCTTGTCCTGCAAGGACAACTAATAGAATGGACTGAGAGTTTTTCACAACAAAGTGGCCAGCCTGTTAGCCATATGGGACCTCCCTAAGAATTTTGTACAGCCCTTGGCGCTCTGCTTCTCATTTGCCACTGATATATATTGGTGTAACTCCTGCTGTCAAAGTCTGCAGTCAACCCCTTGATGATAGAAAGCTTTCCAAAAAGTCAGAGTTCTTGAGAAATTAATAAAAAAAAAAAATACCCAGGAGGCAATCTGATTCTGACATCAATGCATTTCATATAAAATTAGTTCTCAGCAGTGATTGGAAATTCATCTCTTTACCCTTCCAAATGCACACCTGTCTTTAATATCTAATGAGTCCTGCATCTCCTTAAGTTCATATGTAGGGAAAAAATATCAGGCAATGGAAGCAAATGGGGGATCCGCAAGGAAGCTATAAAAGTCAAGATGGCAGCCATAGCTGTGTGATCAAAGTGATGCATGCAAAAAAGGGATGTTGCTTTGATCTCATTCGTGGCTGCCATCTTGACTTTTTTTGACCTGCTGCTCCTATGATGCCCCTGAGGACCAACATGTAAGGGAGTATTTTCTCCCTGTCTTCCATGGTTTTTATCCCTTTGTCCTGAAACAATGGGATGAAACACTGGGATTTGACACACCCGATGCAACTGCTTCTGTCCCACCACTCCCCAATGTTGCCATCCCCTGTTCCAGAAGGACAGAACTATCCCCAGAAACACTGTAGACTTGCGTAACAGAGAATTTATTCATATTACATTGCCATGGAGAAAAGTCAGGAGAACTGGGAAGTGATGAAGTCATCTATTCTAAGAGGAAATGTGGGCAGGGATGGGCAAAATTGGCATGTCGTTCTGTACAATTCAGAGGTAGGAAAACCAATATGGCATCTACCAAATTTGCTGGTCTTTCATGGTTGGTTCCAGTTGCATCCCAGCGACTATAATCCAGATGGCTCTACAGTTCGTACTTACAGATATAGGCATTTAGTTTGTCACATCTAACATCATTCCACATTTTAAAACCTAAAATGCCAAAGATAAGACAAAAGTTACTTCTTAATTGCTTGACCAATGATGGGACGTGATCTGGAAAATACTGTCAGACATTCAAAAAATTTCAGTCATCACTGTAAAAGTGAAGCTTCTTCTCTTCATGGCAGAAAAAGATCTAGGAAGAATGGAAGAAAGAAA